TTTCTTCATTTTTACTGCCCTATTTTAGTAAATACTAAAATAGAGTGAATATTTTCTTTCACTAAATTATAAACAGTATTTTTAAACAATTTCTTTAAATTCTTGCAATTTTTCTTTAGTGTTTATAAGTTATATAAAGTTGTCATTGATAATAAAAAAAAATGTTATTGACAAAATAAAATTGAACAAAGCAAAATTTTATAATTAACATAAAAGTAAAAATTTATTATAAAAATTAATGCATAAATAGTTATTTGTATTCATATAAAAAAATTATATTAAATACTATTCCACCGCTTTAAATAAAAGCGTTTTTATAAGTAAACAATACGATTTTAAGTGTCATGTCGTTTTTTATCAAATGTTTGATAGGTATGAACTATGCTTTAAACATAAATTATTTTTAAATATTAAACAAATTAAAAATTATTTGTAAACATAGAAAAATTATTCATAGAAAATTAAGTGACAATACAACTATGTATTTCAAATTTAAAATGAATGTATTTACTTGGGTACTACTACAGTCAATATTTGTCGAAATATTATATAAGTGCTTTTGAATAAACATCCAAACTAACAAATATTCTTTTGGATATTCTAAATTAAATACAAAAATTATTTTAAAACAGATATCAATTGCACTTAATGCGGAATGTATGCGGTATTTTATGACTTCAAATATATCACGATTTCTTTTGGTTCCAATATTGAATATTGACTAAATTTTAAGGCTTGTTTGACATTTTTTCGCCAATTCTTCTTCACAAGCGGCTACTGTGTTTCCATCAATAAAAAAGCTTCGCTGAGATTCTCATATGATAAATATAGTACATATTTTTCCCCATTTGAAACATACGTTTTTGTCGATGGCACCAAAAGACTATCAGTTGCATTCATAAAAAATGCTTATTTTAGATTTAAATCACACAATAGTTAAAGTACACTTTAGACTTAAAAGCCATTAATAAAATTGTGGTATTCATAAACAAATAATAAACCTACATTAACTATTGTGCTGTTTATTGTTTAACTTGGCAGCACTGTACAATTTGGCTGTCATTTTCTGTGTTAGTGTTGCGAACAATTAGGATAAAATATTCGTTGAGTCGGTTTTCTTAATTTTATATTTTTGGTTATAACACATTTTTGAAAGTAAGAACGAACTTTGAAGAAAAATAAATGTATACATGGCTACAATAAATATATATTTAGTACAGATGAATGAATATAACATATATATTTTAATTATAATTAAAAGTATTCGAATAACGAATATTTTGTGACAAAATAAACATCACTATGCACATTTTGTTATTTTTACTTATTTTTATAGCAATTTTTAATAAATTTTTGCAAATACTGATAAATTTCTTTGATAAAAGACTACATTTTATTGCCGGAGAAGATATTTTGCATTGATAGAACACTAATCATTATAATTTACACTCTTAATTACTTCATGGCTTTATATTTAGCGAATAAACTATGAAAAAGACAAATAAAATGATTGTGGCCATGATTTGATTGACTGGCCAACTGGAATACTGTCAAATATTCATCTATTAATCCAATAATGCCTAGATTTTAGTTTTTTCACCAAAATAGAAACTTTTAAAATTTATCTGGAATTTTATTTACAAATTTGAAAACGTTAAAATTAAAATTTTTAGACTTCATTTCAGAATAAAACATAATTAGTTTTCGTCTTCAACCTAATATTAATGAAAAAAGCTTAATCAGAGACAAAATTTGTAAGAATTCATATTGTTGGCTTAAAGTAGGGTCGAGCGTACAATAAATTTTTTCTATTTGTCATTGGTTTATTGAAGGTATTTTAAGCTATTTGACGTTTATGAATACCATTTTCGTGGATTTTGCTTAATAATGTTTAATAAACCTGTATGTAAAAAAATACCAAAACAAATAATAGTAAAATTATGTTTAAAGTAATTTTTGGATAAAATATTTAAACACTTACTTTTACTTATGTTATCCATTTGATTCATATTTTGGAATAAATGTTTACAAGATTTGTCCTTTATGCGATCTGCAAACACGTAGTCAATTTTTAAATAGAAAGCTTCGAAATTGTCATGAATACAATCTGCTTTGGATATAACTGATGAAAATCCATATGTACCCACAAGAAACAAACAAATAGACAACGACAATAATTGTAAACATTTCTTGTTGAGATTTAATGAATAACTTACCAATTTATAACCCAATGGCTTTCTATACTGTGACCATTTAGTCGACAATTTTTTGTGGCACTCCAATGGTTTTTAACTTTGGCCCAAGAGCAGTGCTTCAAAACTGTCTTCTTTAAATTATTATTTATATAAGCACAATATTTATACGTTTATATTTATTTATATTTTGTTCAATAAAATTTTCTTTATAATTTTATTTTAATATATTTATTTGACAACACAAGCACTTTAAAGGGAGCCACAATTTGCAATAATATAAACTAGTTTTCGTTACAAATTTTCAAGTCTTCTGCTTAATTGTTTCTTGTATATTGCGAAATTTCTTCAGCTCTACGTGTCTTTATTCAATTTAAATAAAATAGTTAAATTTAAGGAAATTTCTTCAATTCTATAGGCTATTATATATTTATACATACCCTTTAGCTATATTGAAAAACTATCTTCTATTTTAACAAAGTGATTTAGTTAAAAATTAAAAAAGCGATTTAGTTAAAATTAACAAAATTTCTTCATAGCCACAGCCCTATTTCATTATTTCTTCTTTGTATTTTATTTTTTCTGTTTTTTGCAAGAAATGAAGAAATTTCTTCAAAATGTTATTATATCAACGATATATTCTTCAAATTAACCACCTTTAAGGGAGTAAAATTAACTATTTTAGATGTAGATTTGAATAATTGCGATTTTAATATTTTACCACTGTTTTAACAAAATTTCTGTTGATTTAACAAAATTTTGGATGTAAATATAAAGATATTTATTGAAATCAACGGATTAAATTGCCAAAATTTTTTAACAAAAATAAATTACTAAATATGAAGAAAATTCGTTTATATGAATAAAATTTCTGTAGATTTGAATAAAAAACCTGTAGATTTAACTATTTTTTTTTCGTTAAGGGTTTACTAAAATTTTTCGTTAATATTACTTACGATATTTTTTTTTTCTGTTTAGTCCCCTTATAACTCCTGTTTTTTATTTTTTTATCAATAAATTATTATTATTCCCTTAAAAGAGAATATAACTTAATAATAAGATCTCTCATGTATAAAAAGAAGTAAGAATTTATTGTCGGGCATAGCCGAGCATATGATATCCTACACCAGTGATTATGTTAAAAATATTGATTATTTTATTTAATAATAAAGTATTAAATTTATTTTTTAGCTTAATTCAGAAATATTTGGTCCTATCCCCAGCAACATTTATAACTCATTGCCATTTAATGCATTACATTTCTGCTTGCCAAATTATCTTTCTGCATTACAATGAACAATGAAAAAATTACCATATATATAACTAGTTTCTAAAGGGAAATTAAGAATATGTTCTTATTTTCACTATGTAATTAATTACATGCGTCTTTCTAGCTAGTTTAAAAGAGAACACATTCCAAATAACAAATTACATCATGCATGATTACTATTGAAAAAATTTCGATATATATTTCATAGATTACCACTATGATTATTTTTGACGGCAATGTAACTACTTCTTTTGCAAAAATATTTATTTAATTTTTCCATTAATTCTATATGTATCTAAATATATTCTAAAATTGAATTGTGCAGATGGAAGGCAACGGAGTTTCGCCAATTTATTCTGTATACCGGAATTGTAGTGCTAAAAAAGTTTGTTCCTAGAGATTTTTATAATCATTTCTTACATTTTTTGTTTCCAAATTTCCAGACCTTCTAGTATTTCCTATAACGTCCATAACCTACTTCATTTAGCTCAGTCTTTAAACGATTTTGAAAATTTAAATAGTATTTCTGCATATAAATTTGAAAATTATATGAAAAAAATTAAACAAAGGATAAAAGTTCCGAAACACATAGCACAACAACTTTTTAAGAATTTTATTGATGAGAAAATATCTGTAATTGATAACAAATGTGAAATAAAGTACAATTATCAAGGTGATGCTATTTCATTGCAGAAAGAATTTTCATATTTCAGCAAAAAGTCTCCTACCAACTTATGTTTAACAGATTTAAAATCATTTGTCATAATAACAGAAATTAACAGCGATTCTTCTTTTAAAGGAAAACCATTTTTAAATCCAAAAAATTTGTTTCATTATCCAATAAATTCTTTAGAAATAGGAATTTGTCTAGTAAGTTTAAATGAATTGGGTGCAGAAGAAACATATAATATTTCAAATATTTCTTCAAAACTTGTAGGATTGCCTTTCGAAAACAAACTTGTGTTAATTCCTTTACTGCACACCTTTACATGAAATTTAAACAAAATTAATATTTTCTTTTTCACAGCTAAAAACAAATCTAAGCCACAAAAACAAGGGGATGAATTAGAAATGCTTGTAGAATTAAAAAGTAAGTATTAAAATCATGTTATGTAAATGAAATGAAAAATTATTTTTTAATTATCTTATTGTCTCCTTTAGATATGATACAAAAGCAAAATGAGCAAAATACCAAAGTAAATTAATAAAGTAGCATCACTTGAACAGCTGACTATTTTTTTTAAACTAGATAAATGAAGCAAATTGTCAAAGTTTGTTTTGAAAATTGTTAACATTGTTTACGTCGCCATTTTTAAATTGTGTTTTGCTATTTGTTAAAATTTGTGAAAAGTTGAAAAAGTGAATTAAAAGTGGTTTTAAAGTAGTTTAAAAGTGTAATAAATTGTATAATATATAATAATATAATTAAATCGTTAATATTTTTAACTTAAAAGTAATATTTTTTATTTATGTTTTGTTCACATTGTTGTTCAAGGAAATTTTATTTTGACACAATCTTAAATTATTCCAAAAACAAAATACATGTGGTTGTTGTAGATGTTGTTGTACAACAAGAGATGTCGCTACTTTATTAATATACTTTGCAAAATACCAAAATATTGGAATTACTACAACAACAGAATACGATCAATATAAACATATTTGGGGGAATTACTGAATTAAAAGGTAAATATTTACATACATATACATATAAAAAATAAGTTTGTAGTTATAACATTATTTAAATAATTTCAGATATAATAATCAACCAAAACAATGTTTTAAGTGAGGTGCTTTCGAAACTTTGAAGAACCAAAGTTTACTACAATTTTCCCATTACCATCTGACGATGAATTAAACAATTTTGAGAAAATGATAAATTCAGAGAATAAAAGTGAAATTGTGAGTCCCTATTTACTTACCTACATATGTATATATTTATTTATTTTTTATTTCTATAGGTATTTTCAGTAAAGCGAGTCTTGGGTACCAAAGGACTACAAAAAGGAATTTCGAACATATTTTCAAAGGATATAATCATAAATTATAATGTTCGGGGTATACAAGGCAAAAAGCGGCTATAGGATTTTAAAAAGGTTATCAATATTTTATTTCGTAAGTAGTTTTACGGCAATATTTTACTAGTTATATAATTAATTATATGTTTTGAAATATTTATTCTTTTCTAGTGGCAACGTCATCCGAAGGTGGTACTGAGATAGAATTTTATGGGGAACTTCGCAAAGCCTTTAAAGCAGCGAAAAATAAACATTTTAAATTTGAATGCTTAAAACGTAAAAAACTCGACAATGAAACAGATTCTTCAAATTAACTTTAGCATACGACGACTTTTAATTTATTTCATAAAAACTTCCTCATTTTATTGATGTTATATTTAATTATATAATTATATTAATTATATAAAAACTACATTTCTATTTCTGAACATTTATTTATGTAAATATCGTTAATGTTTTCTTTTTTACAATGAATTAAATAAAATATTTGTTTTTTAATTATAAAAATAATTAATTATTATTTTTAAGCGGGAAGTAGTTCTATTTGATAAAACTAATTATTAAAATTTATTTAGAAGTAATTCTTCTTACTCAGAAAGGAATCAATTATATATTTTATTAAAATAACTAGTTCTTGAAAATAAAAATAAAACTAATTCTACACAAGTTATCTAGAACTGGTTCTTATAATGCCGATAACAATCAATTCTTTTTTTTATTAAAATAACTAGTTCTTGAAAATAAAAATAAAACTATTTCCATAAAAAGCAGAATCTCTTATACATGTCAAAATTATAATCGGTTCTTATAAACACCTTACTTTAGTCTCATGCCTTGTAAAAAGAATCGATTAGGTAATGCAAATGGTAACCAATTCTTTAAAAATGCTTAATTTCTTTACTCGATTACTTTTTGGAAAATTTTTTGCTGGGGATCCTTATAACTTTTGGTAGAGGGATTTACGGTTACATTTGTTATTTATGCAGAATATCATCATGATATTAGTGTTTATATGTGAATTCTTACCATCAAGTCATTTTCTGAAGGGGACTTTGTATGGGGGATAGGGTCAAATGAGGCCTGATCAATACGAAATAGTGGAGCGATTCCAACCACTTTTAATACACGCCAAATTGCATTAAATTATCTTGAAAATTGCGACCTGTACTCACAGACATAGCCAAATCGACCCAGAAAGTGATTCTGAGCCGATTGGTAACCTTTAATATGGGTGTATGACCAATATTTTTGGGTCTTACAAACATCAGCACAAACGCATAATATAGTGGTGTATCCCAAATTCCCCAAAGAACATTTGAAATCTCGCCTTGAGCAGGAATCGAAATATTTTGTGGTTAGATGTAAAAAGCGAATTTATTTAATTCTGAAAGATCCGTATAGCTGTACGTAGACGTTCCACCACTGGACTTTGTCCCCAATATACTTACACATATACCATTGAACATGGTGGCGGATACGTAATGGTATGGGCTTTTTTCGTGTTTGGAACATGATCTCTATTTCGTAGTGAGGGAAGATTGGATTGTAAATATCTCATAAATATACTTAACTAGCTATAACCAGTGTGCTTCGCCACCCTCATGGTAATGGAATAAAATAAATATTATTATTGTAAATGTATATACATATCTGCAATATCAAAAAAAACCTTTTATATAAGTTTGATTTTATGATTCTAGTCTCAATATTAGACAATTAAAAAAACAGTGCCTTTTTATAGATTTTAATTAAATGCATGTTTCATTTTCAACCAGAAATTCCTCGCATACAGATTCTTATACAATCAGGAAGATGTGTGTCCAATTTTATGTTTTCAGGTTCAATATTATAGAAAATTCGAAAAGTATTAGTAAAAGAACAAAAAAGTACCAGAAAGTAACCTTTTCATGCATGTTTAATTTTATGTTTATATATTCAATATTTTAGAAAACTCAAAAAGTACCAGATGAAGTACGAAAAGTACCAAAAGACCTCTTTTATTTAATTTCATGTTTCTAAGTTCAATATTATAGAAAATTCAAAAAGTACCAGTTAAAGAACGAAAAAATACCAGAAAATACTCTAGTTTAAATTTTCATTCACTCAAGTCCCTGATTGCTTAGTTTTATGTTTTAGGTTCATTATAATAGAAAATTCAAATAGTACCAGTTGAAGAACGAAAAAGTACCAAAAAGTCCCGTTTTATACGTTCTCACTTACTCCGGGACCTACATGCTTAATTTCATGTCTATAGGTTCAATATTATAGAAAATTCAAAAAGTACCTTTTGAAGAACGAAAAAGTACCAAAAAGTCCCCTTTTATAGGTTATCACTTAATCCGGGCTGCACATGCTTAATTTCATGTTTCTAGGTTTAATATTATAAAAAATTCAAAAAGTACCAGTCGAATAACGAAAATGTACTAAAAAGTTTCCTTTTTGGATTATAATTTACTCCGGGCTATACATTAGAGTGGGTCGGTCTCTATGGACAAAAAAAAAGTTGTGTCAGTCACCCCCTAGGATTAAAGATATGTTAATAACATTTCCAAAAATATAAAAAATATTTTTTTGCCACGCCTAGAAATACCGCCCTTTTTGTTTTTTATATATTACGCCGCCATTTTAAGTCCGATCGTAACAAGTCATATATCAATATTTATGGCTTGACTGTAGCTATATTTCACTCTTAGAAAATTTGTTTATTCGACGTCATACTCTATGCGTGACTTCTGATATCTCGGATCCTTCCCCAAAATCTAAAATTGTGGCTATACTGGAATAAAGTACATTGAATTATATGAACTATTAGCTTTTAAAATGCTCACTTTTATGCAAAAACACCTATTTTATAGATTTAAAAATGTTCAAGTATTTAGCAACCGTTCTCACAACAAACAATTAATTTGCCAGGAAAAACAGTCGAAAAAAAAATTTTAATGAACTATATAAAACAGAAATCCTTTTAATTTTTTCAGTTATAAACCATTTCAGATCCAACTTCCTTTCATATAAAAGAAAGTTAACTACATATATCCTACAGCAATATAGTGGTTTAGCTATGTCCGTCCTACTGTCAGTCCATGTAAACCTCGTTGTCAAACTACAAATCGCAATTTTCCAGATAATTTGATGAAAATAGGCCAAATATTTCATTTTACCAAAGGACGAAGTTGTTTGAAGATGGATTAAATCGGAGCCTTTAATTGTGGCTTGCCGTTATTTTCCTCTTAAACACTACCATTATCATAAAATTCTGCATATCTAACTCCTATATGAACATAAATCCCTCCACTAAATTTTGTTGGGATCGGTCTATAATTGATCCTAGCTCCCATATATAGGCTCTTTCAGAAAATCAGTTTTTCATCAATAAATTGCTTAAAAAGTAGTGGACAAATTTCTATATAAATGCTTTATTAAAAAAGAAATCACATTTTAGATAAGTATACTCATAACTGGTATCATTCCCGACTAATATTTATACCCTACACCACTATAGTGGTGTACAAAAATATTGGTCCTACACTCACCTTAAAGTATGCCGATCGATTCAGAATCATTTTTTGAGTCGATTAAGACATGTCTGTCCGTCCGGCTGGCTGTCCATCTAAACCTTGTGCGCAAGGTACAGGCCGCAATTTTCAAGATAATTTGATGAAACTTGGACCAAGCATGTTTTTGGGCACAGGGACGAAGCCCAAATTCGATCCATTATTTCACCAAGCCCCCATACAACCGTACCTCCCGATTTGGGAGGTACACAAATAAGTTTCATATAAGTATAAATGACACTGCAGATTTTCGTAATGATCGGCCCTTATTTGACCCTAGCCCCCATACAAACCCCTCTTCAAAAAATGTCTTAGACGTCTAAAATTGACTTGTAACCATTTGTATCGCAATGAAACAAAACTAACTGTTATTTAAAAATATATCCTTTTCCCAAATTTAATAAGGATTGGCCCATATTTGACCTATACTCCTATATAAAGCCTCATTTAGAAAATTTTGATTTTTATCAATAACTTGCTTAAATACTTTGAAATTAAGGTAAAATTCATATAAAAGTTTTTTATGAAAAATAAAAATTTTAAAAATATACCCATGGTGTAGGATATTATATGGTCGACCATGTCCGACTATACTTTCCTACTTGTTTTTTATTAGTTTTTATTTCAAGAACTTCTTTAAAAATATATAACTATTTAAGAAAAGTTAATATATCTTTAAATAAATTTATTACATTTTACAAAAATTAGTATAAACATTTTTGAAAATTGCTAAAAAAACGAGAAACATGCAAGTAATTGTATGGTAAAAACATGAAATATTATTATAAACTCCTTAATTTTTCATCGATTTTTATAAAATAAAATGTTTAGTTTTCATGTACCTACGTGATTTTGTTACTAATGAATAAAATTAAATGCTGAATAAAATTATATTTCTTGTGTTAAGATAGGGGGCAGAATGAAATTTTTGTATTGTAAATTAATTTGAAAAAATAGTTTTCGACCATATCCCTAGCAAATTAATTGTTTGTAGTTAGAACTATACAGGTAGTTTTAAATACCTGTAAAATAGCTGTTTATGCATAAAAGTGAGCATTTTAGAAGCAAATAGCTCATATAATTAAATGTACTTTATTACAGTACAGCCACAATTTTAGATTTTGGGGAAGGATCCGAGATATCAGAAGTCGAACATAGAATATGACGTCGAATTAAAAAATTGTCAGAGGGTGAAATATAGCTACAGTCAAGCCATAAATATTGATATATTATATGTTACAATCGGACTTAATCGGCGACGTTATATATAAAAAACAAAAAGGGCGGTATTTCTAGGCGTGGCAAAAAAATATTTTTTATATTTTTTGAAATGTTATTAACATATCTTTAATCGTAGGGGGTGACTGACTCAACTTTTTTTTTCGACCCACCCTACTATACATGTTTATTCTTATGTTTCTAGGTTTAATTTTATAGAAAACTTAAAAAGTACCAGTCAAAGTACGATAAAGTTCCAAAAAGTCCCCTTTTATAAATCCTCATTTACTCCAGGCTATAAGTGCTAATTTCATGTTTCTAGATTCAAATTTTGTTGAAAACTCAAAAAGTACCAGTCAAAGAACGAAAAAGTACCAAAAAGTGCCCTTTTATAGATTCTCATTTACTCCGGGCTCTACGTGCATAATTTCATGTTTCTAAGTTCAATTTAATAGAAAACTCAAAAGAACGAATAAGTATCAAAAATTTTCTTTAAAATTAAACCTAGAAACATGAAATTAAGCATGTAGAGCCCGGTGTAAATGAGAATCTATAAAATGGGACTTATTGGTACTTTATCGTACTTCGACTGGTACTTTTTTGAGTTTTCTATTAAATTGAACATACAAACATGTAATTAAGCACGTAGAGCCCGGA